TTAAAACAGAATTGTAACTATTACTTTTCTGGCAGCCCCAAGTACTGCACAGGTGTTTTCACAGAACTGTCCAACACATTCTTAGGTCTCTGTCCTCAGATGAGGACTTCTTCTCAATATACTCCTTCTATAGTACCTTACTTGCTTGCTCTGGTTTGCCATCACCTTGCTGATTGTTCAGTTGAACCAGGTCAGTCTGAAGGTACTCACGAATCCCACAGTCTGTTTGTCTGGCTTGACAAAGAACTGTCTCCCATCTGTAATCTGTGCTGTCTGCTCTTCCAGATCACTGACTTTTAATGTGTCAAAGAGCTTTAAATGGACATAGTCCTGTACTAGCTTCCTCCTTTGTTGAAAAGTGGCTTTATTATCTAGTTTCTAGGCTACAAAAACTTACTCTTTGGCCTCCAGAGCCAACTGATTTTCCTAATAGTTTATCATGAAAGGCTATCTTATGTATCTTTCTGGAATGCTGAACTTCAATGGATAATGGCAATTCAGCTGTAGAAACTGGTTGCACCATGGAATTTGTTATTGAGAGAAAAGGATTTTCCCTCAGTAACATCCAGATGGTTGGTATCAGTCCCAACTCTACCAGTTCTTTCTGCTTAGCATTTGAGCTGATATTCTTGGTAAGGGAGTAAAGCTTTTTTATTCTCCAACAGGTCAGGAGATCTCAACAAGAAACTGTAATTTTGTTGTTAGCAGTTTGGATTTCCCATTTGACTGTAATTCAATCAGCACATTTAACTAAAGCCCCTACAATTTTTCAGGAGCACTATAATTTAAATGGCCAGACTCCTCTAGATCAAAGGCTGTTATTTTAAATGCATCAGGAAAAAAGGGGTCAGGCAGTGACCAAAGCAAGCACGTACTGAAACATGTTCCTATTTTAACATTGCCTATTTTAATGAAGATCTGTATTCACAGTTATGTGTAAGGAAAGCAGGAAGTCAAGCATTTGACAGAAACTATTTATGTTTCAAGGATGTGAGATAGCATGGAAAAAAATCATCCAGGGCTCAATTCATGAGTCTCCTACCTGTATTTGGGGAGGGGATGGAGATGACAAAACCAGCTTTCTAGCAACAATGTAGGGTCAACCTGGTCAGGGAGCTTCCTCCACTTCAGACACTCTTCACATTGTACCCACATCTGGTCTGGTCTGGTCTCTCTGCAAAAACCAATCTTCAGTCTGAGTATTTAAAGTGTGGATTAAACACCAGGAAAGGTTGTTCAGAACGAGCACTGCCACCCAACCCCAAAGCAATGCCAGCCCATTTGACACCGGGCATGGGATGGTCTGGGGCAGCCAACATGTCTCTGCTCTCCCAGGGACACTCTGCCCAAGGTGTTGCATCCCTCCCAGTAACCACTGGGCCAAACTCCACAGGTTCAAATCTCAATTCCCTATAAAAAGGAGGAGTCCGGTCACCCCTCGGCAGCCTCTGCTCCTCCTGATGGCACATTTGCACCTCACCTTGGGCAAGGGAAACCCCTAAGCCTTTAACGCTGGTAAACATCAGAGCAGTGGCAAACTGGTTCCTATGCTATCACACAGGCTGCATCCACATTTCCCAAGTTCATCTGTGCCATCTTTGCCTTCCAATAGCTGTTGAGTTTCTGTCCCAGCACAGGAATTGTCTGTCTGGAAGGAAGAGCTCCGTAAGAAGCTGGGCAACTCTCACTGGCACAACAGGCAGCACAAGGAACAACCAGGGCAAACACAAGCCCCTTCCCCAAGAACTTGACTTCGACTTGTGATTGCAGATTTTATGTTGGCACCTTAGCAGCAGTATCATCCCACCCACAGCTGCAAAAAAAGGGGCAAATATCATCATAAAAAAATTCAGGCTACAGGTCCCTTTTCCCATGTGCAGCCTTTCCCAAAGTGTGCAGTGCTGCACTCCCAGGAGAGCAGGGGCTAGCACCTGGAGGGAGGACGTTGCCTGCTTCTGCTGCATCCCTTAACTGGGGGCTCCACATAAGCATCACACTTCTTCTTTTGGCTTTATAGGTGTGTTCCGGGTTTGGGTGGCTCTGCTAAAGTGTACATGAACACAGGCTCCATTTTATTTTGGAGGAGTCTCCTCAGGGCTGGAGCCTTGTGAGGGAACGAGCTGGAGGAACACAGATTGTGTCCTTTCCTCAGCCCAAGGCTATATGCTTGTACCAGACTTTCAGGATAAAATTCTGCCTGCTCTCTAGGGGCACTAGAGAAGGAAAAAATGGTCCAATATGGGGCTACTTCACAATAAACAAACCTAAGAACATGTGCAGTGCTCAGAATAAAGGCTGCATCACAGCGAAACCCTCTCCAAGCAGCAGCCTTGGGCACAGGTCTCTCTTACTTACTTACTCTTTGCCTTCTTCAAAGTCCTCTTTGTTGTATGCTCAATTCAGGAAGTTACATTCAATTACACCAATCATACCGACATACTCTCCCTGCACCAGGAGCCAAAAATGAAGGGAGAGAGCTGCTTTAGCTAATTCTGCTCAGAACAAAAAAAAAAAAAAAATTAGTCCTTTGGGGAGCACTGACACCCCAAACCCCTGATACAACACCATCACCTATGCATTGCATGCCAACATCACGTATGAGGTACAAACACCAGGCACACCCCCTGCAAAGGTATTTTGGGCATATAACACTGAAGCTTTTTCTTCCAGAAAGCACAGCACAGGCTGGCTTAACTAACAGGCCAGAATTATCTGTGGCAAAGATGGTCACCTCCAAGGCATGCCACAGCTCTGCAAAATAACACCTAGAAGCAAATGCTTCAGCGACCACTTCCTAACAGAGTCCAGGCTATCCTGCCAGAGCAGATCTCCTTCTGGAAGTCACCCTGGAGGAGAGGCAGGCTGCCTGTCCTCTGGTAGCACCTCCAGTTGCAGTGGTGTTAAACAGTAGCTGGACACCTAAAACCCGGACAGGCAACCCATTGTGCAGATGCACTTACTGATCTCATCCTACGGACATACCAGGTTTCCTTGTTCAAATCAGGACACCGTGCAATGTAGAAGCAAGGATTGAAGACAAGGCTGCTTTTTGCAAAGCTGCATTCTCCCCTCTCCCAGATAAAAAGGAGTAAAAGACAAGTCCAACTACTCACCTTCCTTTGACAGCCCACTTTCTCATAGGATCTGATGAGCCGGTTGTTGTGGTACATCATGAGCCTGGAGTGGGTTTTGTTCTTGCAGGTGAATCTTCACCCTTTTGCTCTGAGGGAAAATGTGTCAAGGAAGGAATAAACAAACAACAAGCTCCAGAGGAGGAGCACAGAACATGCTCAAGTTCCACAGAAAGGAGTGAACACTCCAGAGAGACTGCAGCACCAAGCAGCCAACACTGTATTCCTCAGCACAACACCTTCCCTCTTCAGCCGGGAAAAAATCCTTCAGCCTTGGCCTGCCACAACCCCGTGCACACAGCCAATAGTCACAGATAAGAACACACATAACTGACTGGAGGGGAGTTGGATACAGCTGTACTGAGCAGAGCCAGTCTGTCACTGCCAAGTCAAAATATGCCTTGGTTATAGCTTTAATAAAAACTCTGATATGCATTTATATTACCCTGATAATAGAACAAGCAAGATCTGGACAAAGAAAACTGCCTTAGAGCATTTCACAAATGAGATAACTAATAACTAGTAATTTTACTTGTGATTAAAAGATAAATGACCAATGTTTACAAAACCAAATCAAGCACATCCAGTCAGGGATGAAGAAATCTTAACAACCAACAATGACACTAAGGTCTATCAAAGAAGAGCAAGGTCTCCTTCAGCAGACTCCAGTTTCACAAATTCAGTTCTAGACAGACCACTATTAGATTGGGAACTGTGGGTTTAGGATTTAAATATTTCATTAAACACTTTTTGTCTAAATATATTTTAATTTGCTTACTTCTTAGAGTCAGAGCTCATGCATTTGCAACGTACATAGTCATCGCGTGCTTTCCAATACAATGCTACTTTATCTATACACAACAGCTGCTAAACTCCAAATTTCAAGGATCTGTTATTTTATGCATACCAGCTATGCAAGGCCAAAGCACCTTTGAAAGCAAGTGGAAAACCACAACTGCTTGGGCACTACCACTACAGGTTTCTAACCTGCTGAATTTCTGCAAATCATCTTAAAATACAGTGGCTGTGCAGTCCCTGGAGAGAGCATTAGCACACAGATGTGAACTACCGTGAAGCTACAAAAGAAGGAAAGCAGCTTTGTTGGTCCTCCGATTCCTAAGTACATAGGTACAGAATTTAAGTAACTCCTTTTCATCTTTGGTCAATCTTTTTGTATTAACATAAGCACAGAAATTCACAACACAAAATGATCTTTAAAGCACATAGCAGGAGGGGGAATAAAAGATGCTCAGGTGTAGTTCAAAACAGCTCAAGCAAAGTTCTTTCCAGAAGACATTTGAAGGGTAGGTTGTTCTTTGCACTTGGCTTTACTTGGGGATACTGGTTTCTGTTCTGTGGACACCGCTTTCCAAAAGCACATGGCAGCAGATGAGCCAAAAAAGTCATCTTACTCCCAAAGAGCTAGGGTGGCCTAGGAGCGGGTGTTGGGGATAAGAACCAACATGCTCCAACCAACATATCAGACCAGACAGGCCTGAGCCCCGCTATGAAGTTGGTCTGGAACCCCAGTGTGCTGAGGCTGCTGCGGGAGCAGAGTGCCAAGAGGTGGCAGGAAGGATACAATGAGTCGTGGCTTGTGAAAATCATACTCAAGAGTGGCCTGGCTCTTGGCGATCAGCTGAATGTTCACCTTCTGTCACAGGACAATCTACGTGCGATCGGTACAAGATCGGTACACATCTTCAGGTACAAGATATTGCAGTATGCCTGGGAGAGGGGACATCACATGTAGTCTTTTCCAGGTGAACCCAAAATCTAGTTTGGATATAATGTCTTTCATCCCCTGCGAGTCATGCACAGAACAAAGCTGGGGAAGGGCCATCCTGCTCCCTTTCAGCTCTCATCAACTTATGCCATTTCTGGGCCAGGAAACTCTGGAACCAACTTCTGAGAGTGCAGAATCCTTCTGCTGGGAATGTCCCCATCGTCTGCAAGGAAGTCTGCTATCTGAACATCACGCTCATTTGTATGAAAATCCAGCTCCAGCTTCCCATCTTTATTTCTGAAAAACACCAAACACAAAAATAAAGACAGTCTCCTCCAATCATCAGCACCCTGGTCTGCTCGTCTGTATCAGGATCCCAAGGGAACTTCCTGAGGAGCAGATAAAACAACATATTTCACACGCTCCATGGATCTCATTAGTCAGTCATTTAATTACAGGTATTTCTATGCAGAACACCAAAGTAGTGGCACACTTCAGAACGGTTTTGGTAACACAGAAGTATGGAAGTTCCATCGCACAGATGGAAAAAGGAAGTAAATGTATTATTTCCTCTGAAAAAAAGAGCACACCAGCGACAGACAGAACTAGATTCACCCCTCCTAACTCCTAGTGTGGCCCCCTCAAGCACTTAGTTATACAGAGAAAGGAGGGAGAAATCCCTTCATTTGTTCCTCCAGTGGCCAGGCTGGATGACAGCGGGCTTGGACCACCCAGGCCAGGCGTTGTCCTGAAGCTGTCTCTGCTTTTAGTTCTTCCCCATCCTCAGGGCACCACTGCCTCGCCCACGCACCACAACCTGTGAATGTTCCAGATGAGGATGCATGTGTCCTTTTTGCCTGGTATGGCATTAAACCGTGCCAGCAGCTCCCCCTCAGTCTTGACGAGGGTATGCTCCAGGATGGCCTCCAGGCTAGGCACAGAGTCTTCAGTAACAATCATTTTCTCTAGAAGCCACAGAGTCAAGAAGAACAGGGTTGTCCAGTCCACTTACCTCCCTTTTGCCACAGGGGCCCAAAAAAATCCACCTGCAAAGACCTGGCCAGAGGCCTGACACTCCAGAGAAGTGTGACACAGGAGAGACTACAGGAGGATGGTCTTAGAGCCAGGACAGACATGACAGTAGAATGCTTTGAAGAAAAACACTTAAAAGTATCGAGCTGAGTGGGGGGCAGCAATGTCATGCCAGCTGATAATATGCAAGCAATGCCGGGGAGCTGTATACTCTCAGCTCCCTTTGGTGTGATGGAGACACAGCCTGGAAGTATGCCATCATGCCCAGGCAGCACCAAAGGCATTACAGGTGCAGAAAAGCAGCTGAAAGCATAGCTCCTGGGCAGGGGACATGTACATGGGTCTGCATGGTGAGGGGGAATGGACAGAAACAGGTAGTCCATAGGCTGGTGGCATGACTGCAAAGGCTTTCCAGGAGCCAGGTTAGCAGCAGATGCACCCAAGCAGACACACCACAAGTTCTAGCCCAAGGAGAAGAGAATAATGTGTGTTAACAGCAAGGCCTGCTGCAGGGATCCTCCAGGTGCAGCACTGGTTACAGTTATTCTCACCCTCATCCAAACATTGTGCTGTGTGCACATGGCCAAGGGACAGCCGTAGGCAGTCTGTGCCCTCAGCATCATGGCAGAGGGGCCACTGGCCCCCCAATGTCCCTTTGAAGGAGGGTAGCGGCTCGGCCACTTGGCCAAGGGAGGATACCATTTTGCTGGCTGGATGACACCAGTGGGATAATCACTGTCTCAGCATGGACACAGTCCATGTAGGTCTGGGAATGTAGGTCTCCCATGCTGAGAGCCCCTCCACTCTTGGCAAAGATGATGGCATCCTTCCCCAGCCACATGGAGCCAGACTTGAAGCCATACAATCCAATGGAAGGGTGGTCTCTTTTCACAGTCCTTTCCATGAACCAAAGCTGAAAGCAAGCAAAGCAGAAAGAGGCTGGAAATGGGGAGTGCCCGTCTCACTCCAGGCACAGGTCCACATTACCACTCTTAACTTTAGCAAAGGGAGCTTAGCTCCTGTTCAGCAGGGAAGACTCGGGATGTCTGCCGCGCGGGCAA